TTTTTACACTGATTGCTTTTACACACATAAAGGCTGTAAAAGCAATCATTTCTCCTTCTCTCTGGCTGCATTCCTGCAGCCATTGAGAAATACTGTGTGAGCTGTGATTGGTCACAGCTTATCAGATGGTACCAGGTTGTTGTGAATAGCCCTGTACCATGTGATCTCTGTGATCATTCACAGATTTCACAAGTAGTAAGCAATGATGTCAGAAGTGACATCTTGCTTACTAGTCTTCATGCGATCACTGATTGGTCAATCAGTGATCACATGATCAGGACCTCACACAGAGGTCCCGTACAGCGATCGGTGTTCCACTGTGTCCGGAGGACACAGCAGGCTCAGGATCGTGGTGCCCGCGCGCACAGGCAGGAAAGAGGGAAGACGTTTATAAACGGCCTCCCGCTCCTGCACTGCTCCCGTTCAGCCGTGTTTGTACATGGGCCAGACGGGGAAGTGGTTAAAGACTGGTCCTTCGCTCCCCAATAAGGATTGACACCTTTGGGGAGCGGGTACTCGAAATTGACAGGTACCCACTCCCCCTTCCGCTGCGATCGCCTAAGTGATCGGAAGCGTAAGTTGTCCTACCCTCCCTCCCTGTAGTATTCTGGGACACATGACAGGTCCCAGAAGACTACAGGACCATTCTGGAAGCCCATCGCTTCTCACACATGCGCAGTGGGTACCCGGAAAGCTTTCACAGCCGGGTGCCCACACTGAAGATGCCAGCACCTGGAACACAAGACGGCCGGTGAAATGGGCTGCGGGGAAGACACCGCGGGACTGAGGGACAGGTAAGTGGCTGTTTTTTAAAAGTCAGCAGCTACAGTTTTTGTAGCTGCGGACTTTTATTTTTTCACAGCGTCAGTGGAACTCCGCTTTAAAGTCCCGTAGTTTGACGCCATTCCAGGGATGTGTGCAATTTTAAAGCATGACATGTTTGGTATCTATTTACTTGGTGTAACATCATCTTTTATATTTAAAGAAATTGGTATTCTAGGGTGTTTTTGTTCACTAAAATTCATGAAAGTTTATTTTTTCATAAATAATTGCATATGAAAAAAATTTGAAACTACCATGCGACATATAAAACTTCAACACCCACCATTTTATTCTCTAGAACCTTTGTTTAAAAACATATCATGTTTGGAGGTTCTAAGTAATTTTCTATCAAAATAGACTTTTTTTCCCATATAGGAAAGAAATGTGGGAATGGGCCCGGTAGGCAACTAGTTAAATAAACAGGTTGAAACATTTGAGAATCCAAGCTTGAAGCATACGTGTAATTTATAGGATGCATTAGTCTGGTCCTCTGTGATTCTCACATGCCACTGTCCTGAGATCATGACCCCGGCATGCATTCCCATCATGTGTGTGACCCAACAAACACACACGGCCACCATTCTCTGGTGAGAAGATATAATTGGTGGGTAGCAAAGACTTTTCTGAGCAGTGTAAGTCAGGAAATGTGTGTTCTCTGGAATGGTCTGTGCTGTGATGGGGAGAAGGCTGAGCCCTTTAAATCACCAGATCAGTGTCAGAGATAAACAGGAGCAGGTTGGAGCTCCTGCAGATTCGGGATGAGTTTGCACTTTTTTTCAGCCAAGTAAAATGCTGCTTTCCGTCTGGAACTGAGTGCAGAGGGAGCAGAAGGCCCCTCCACCCCCCCATGACAGTTCCGGAGAATGTTCCGGCAATGCAGATTCACAAAGTGACACAGATGGCAGCGGGGCCGTGTGCGTGATGAGGGATATCTTCTACAAATGGGATCATTATCTCTGTCATGTCAGTCATGTCTCATCTTATATCTGCATATCTGACTGTTATTATTTGTTTGTTTCTTTATTATCTATCTATCTATCTATCTATCTATCTATCATCTATCTATCATCTATCTATTATCTATCTATTATCTATCTATTATCTATCTATCTATCTATCTATCATCTATCTATCTATCTATCTATCTATCTATCTATCTATTATCTATCTATTATCTATCTATTATCTATCTATCTATCTATCTATCTATCTATCTATCTATCTATCTATCTATCATCTATCTATCATCTATCTATCATCTATCTATCATCTATCTATCTATCTATCTATCTATCTATTATCTATCTATCTATCTATCTATCTATCTATCTATTATCTATCTATTATCTATCTATCTATCTATCTATCTATCTATCTATCTATCTATTATCTATCTATTATCTATCTATCTATCTATCTATCTATCTATCTATCTATCTATCTATCTATCTATCTATCTATCTATCTATCTATCTATCTATCTATCTATCTATCTATCTATTATCTATCTATCTATCTATCTATCTATCTATCTATCTATCATCTATATTATCTATCTATTATCTATCTATTATCTATCTATCTATCTATCTATCTATCTATCTATCATCTATCTATCATCTATCTATCATCTATCTATCTATCTATCTATCTATCATCTATCTATCATCTATCTATCATCTATCTATCTATTATCTATCTATCTATCATCTATCTATCTATCTATCTATCTATCTATCTATCTATCTATCTATCTATTATCTATCTATTATCTATCTATCTATTATCTATCTATCTATCATCTATCTATCTATCTATCTATCTATCTATCTATCATCTATCTATCATCTATCTATTATCTATCTATCATCTATCTATCTATCTATCTATCTATCTATCTATCTCCTATCTATCTATCTATCTATCTATTATCTATCTATTATCTATCTATCTATCTATCTATCTATCTATTATCTATCTATTATCTATCTATCTATCTATCTATCTATCTATCTATCTATTATCTATCTATCTATCTATCTATCTATCTATCATCTATATTATCTATCTATTATCTATCTATCTATCTATCTATTATCTATCTATCTATCTATTATCTATCTATCTATCTATCTATCTATCTATCTATCATCTATCTATCTATCTATCTATCTATCTATCTATCTATCTATCTATCATCTATCTATCTATCTATCTATCTATCTATCTATCTATTATCTATCTATCTATCTATCTATCTATCTATCTATCTATCTATCTATCTATCATCTATCTATTATCTATCTATCTATTATCTATCTATCTATCTATCTATCTATCTATTATCTATCTATCTATCTATCTATCTATCTATCTATCTATCTATCTATCTATCATCTATATTATCTATCTATTATCTATCTATTATCTATCTATCTATCTATCTATCTATCTATCTATCTATCTATCTATCTATCATCTATCTATCATCTATCTATCATCTATCTATCTATCTATCTATCATCTATCTATCATCTATCTATCATCTATCTATCTATTATCTATCTATTATCTATCTATCTATCTATCATCTATCTATCATCTATCTATCTATCTATCATCTATCTATCTATCTATCTATCTATCTATCTATCTATTATCTATCTATTATCTATCTATCTATCTATCTATCTATCTATCTATCTATCATCTATCTATTATCTATCTATCATCTATCTATCTATCTATCTATCTATCTATCTATCTATCTATCTATCTATCTATTATCTATCTATTATCTATCTATCTATCTATCTATCTATTATCTATCTATTATCTATCTATTATCTATCTATTATCTATCTATCTATCTATCTATCTATCTATCTATTATCTATCTATCTATCTATCTATCTATCTATCTATCTATCTATCTATCATCTATATTATCTATCTATTATCTATCTATCTATCTATCTATTATCTATCTATCTATCTATCTATCTATTATCTATCTATCTATCTATCTATCTATCTATCTATCTATCTATCTATCTATTATCTATCTATCTATCTATCTATCTATCTATCTATCTATCTATTATCTATCTATCTATCTATCTATCTATCTATCTATCTATCTATCTATCTATCATCTATCTATTATCTATCTATCTATTATCTATCTATCTATCTATCTATCTATCTATCTATCTATTATCTATCTATCTATCTATCTATCTATCTATCTATCTATCATCTATATTATCTATCTATTATCTATCTATTATCTATCTATCTATCTATCTATCTATCTATCTATCTATCTATCATCTATCTATCATCTATCTATCATCTATCTATCTATCTATCTATCATCTATCTATCATCTATCTATCATCTATCTATCTATTATCTATCTATTATCTATCTATCTATCTATCATCTATCTATCATCTATCTATCTATCTATCATCTATCTATCTATCTATCTATCTATCTATCTATCATCTATCTATTATCTATCTATCTATCTATCTATCTATCTATCTATCATCTATCTATCATCTATCTATTATCTATCTATCATCTATCTATCTATCTATCTATCTATCTATCTATCTATCTATCTATCTATCTATCTATTATCTATCTATTATCTATCTATCTATCTATTATCTATCTATCTATCTATCTATCTATCTATCTATCATCTATATTATCTATCTATTATCTATCTATCTATCTATCTATTATCTATCTATCTATCTATCTATCTATTATCTATCTATCTATCTATCTATCTATTATCTATCTATCTATCTATCTATCTATCTATCTATCTATCTATCTATCTATTATCTATCTATCTATCTATCTATCTATCTATTATCTATCTATCTATATCTATCTATCTATCATTATCTATCTAATCAATTTAACTACTGCAGTATCGGGCACTTTTACCCCTTCCAGTCCAGGCCAATTTTCAGCTTTCAGCACTGTCACATTTTCAATGACTATTGCGCGGTCATACAACACTGTGCCCAAACTAATTTTTTTTTTCACACAGATAGAGCTTTCTTTTGTACTGTATTTGATCACCACGGGTTTTTTTTAATTTTTTGCTAAATAAACTAAAAAAGTCAAATTTTTTTGTTATCAAATTTTGCAAATAAATAGTTATTCATATATTTAGGCAGAAACATATTCTGCTACATTTATTTGGTAAAATAACCCAAATATGTGTATATTATTTAGTCTGTAGGAAAGTTTATAGAGTCCACAAACTATGGGGTATATCGGAAAATTGATCAATCCTGATGTACTGACGGCCGATCCTATTTCTGGAGGCCCAAAAATGTCAGGACAGATAAAATCCCCCCATATGTCAGGACAATACAAATACCCCCAAAAGGTCAGGACGATACAAATACCCCCCCCCCACACCCAAATGTCAAAATGTCAGGACAGTACAAATACCCCCCACATATCAGGACAGTACAAATACCCCCCACATGTCAGGACGGTACGAATACCCCCCACATGTCAGGACGGTACAAATACCCCCCACATGTCAGGACGGTACAAATACCCCCCACATGTCAGGACGGTACAAATACCCCCCACATGTCAGGACGGTACAAATACCCCCACATGTCAGGACGGTACAAATACCCCCCACATGTCAGGACGGTACAGATATCCCCCAAATGTCAGGACGGTACAGATATCCCCCAAATGTCAGGACGGTACAGACATCCCCCAAATGTCAGGACGGTACAGACATCCCCCAAATGTCAGAACGGTACAGACATCCCCGAAATGTCAGGACGGTACAGACATCCCCCAAATGTCAGGACAGTACAGATATCCCCCAGATGTCAGGACAGTACAGATATCCCCCAGATGTCAGGACAGTACAGATATCCCCCCAAATGTCAGGACGGTACAGATATCCCCCCAAATGTCAGGACGGTACAGATATCCCCCCAAATGTCAGGACGGTACAGATATCCCCCCAAATGTCAGGACGGTACAGATATCCCCCAAATGTCAGGACGGTACAGATATCCCCCAAATGTCAGGACGGTACAGATATCCCCCAGATGTCAGGACGGTACAGATATCCCCCAGATGTCAGGACGGTACAGATATCCCCCAGATGTCAGGACGGTACAGATATCCCCCAGATGTCAGGACGGTACAGATATCCCCCAGATGTCAGGACGGTACAGATATCCCCCAGATGTCAGGACGGTACAGATATCCCCCAGATGTCAGGACGGTACAGATATCCCCCAGATGTCAGGACGGTACAGATATCCCCCAGATGTCAGGACGGTACAGATATCCCCCAGATGTCAGGACGGTACAGATATCCCCCAGATGTCAGGACGGTACAGATATCCCCCAGATGTCAGGACGGTACAGATATCCCCCAGATGTCAGGACGGTACAGATATCCCCCAGATGTCAGAACAGTACAGATATCCCCCAAATGTCAGGAGAGTACAGATATCCCCCAGATGTCAGAACAGTACAGATATCCCCCAAATGTCAGGAGAGTACAGATATCCCCCAATGTCAGGACAGTACAGATATCCCCCAGATGTCAGGACAGTACAGATATCCCCCAGATGTCAGGAGACGAGTACAGATATCCCCCAGATGTCAGGAGAGTACAGATATCCCCCAGATGTCAGGAGAGTACAGATATCCCCCAAATGTCAGGACAGTACAGATATCCCCCAGATGTCAGGACAGTACAGATATCCCCCAGATGTCAGGACGGTACAGATATCCCCCAGATGTCAGGACGGTACAGATATCCCCCAGATGTCAGGACAGGTCAAATACCCCCCAACTGACCCTTTTTCGGAAAGTAGACAGTCCGAGGTATTTAGTAAGAGGCATGGCGAGTTTTTTTAAGTTGTAATGTTTTGTAACAATTTTTTGGAAAATGAAGAAATTAAAAAAGATTTTTTTCACAATTTTTTTTTTCACATACTGTCACCAGTACAGTACAGCGTCGTCTTACAACTGGTGTGGCAGTGATCAGGGACACTGGTGACAGTACAAAAAAAAATCAGTTTTATTTTTTATTAAATTATTTTTTTTCTTTTTAATGATTTTTTTTTTTTTAGAATACACTGTGACCAGAGTGATATAATGTTGCCATAGTAACATTGTACTACTCTGGGGAAGTGATTTAGTATTTTTTTTTTTTTTTTTTCTTTACACATGAATTGTATTGCTATAAAGAAGCATTTTTTACTGAATGAAATCGATTCATTCAGTTTGTTTTGTTGTGATTAGCAGTGGTTAGCTAATCACATGACACAGATGGGCTGTGCTTGTCCCAGTCTGTACCATGTGATCACTATGACCAATCACAGCTAGCAACATAATTGTATACAATTTTTTTTTTTTTTACACATGAATTTTATTGCTATAAAGAAGCATTTTACTGAATGAAATCGATTCATTCAGTTTGTTTTGTTGTGATTACCAGTGATTAACTAATCTCATGACACAGATGGGCTGTGATTGTCCCAATCTGTACCATGTGATCACTATGACCAATCACAGCTAGCAACATAATTGTAAGCAATGGATGGCATGAAATGAAGCCTTCCATTGTTGACATTTGTCATGTGACGTGCTGTGGCGGTGATCAAGGAGGACGTCATACGATGTCCACCTGAACTGACAAAGGTCCCGCCCACCTGTCATTTTACTATAGGCCGGATGGGAACTGGTTAATAAATCCAGCTCTCTATCTCTTTCTATCTGTCTCTAGACTCTGATCTATCTATCATCCCAGGAACTCTGGGACTTGAAAGCTCAGTTCCATAGAAGTCTTCAGGATGGTCACATGATGTACAGCAGGGGTCAGCAACCAGCAGATCACGGCCACGTGACTGGTAGATCGCGGTCTGGGCTTGCTGACCTCCATCCCAACCAGAGTGCAATGCAGAGGGACTACTTGTAAAGTTGGTGCTGCAGAAGCCAATGCGTCCTCTGCAGCGCCGGCTCCTGTCCCATGCGGAGTGATCCCAACTGCACTCCACCCCTTATTCCCGCTAGCGCTCTCCAGAGGTCAGTGTGAAGCAATGCACCGGGCATAATAGTATAGGGCTGCCTACACACCGATGCACTGCGGTTTCCCCCACACCGTGGGCGCAGTGCAGAGTACCTGCAGCTCTTCTGCGGTTTGCTGCGCTTAGCCATAGACTTCTGTTTTTTATCCTGCGGGTTCGGCACACTTTCATAAAGTGCACCACTCTTGCAGGATAGAATAGAAGTCTATGGCAAACCCAGGAGAGTTGCAGATGCACTGCGTGTGTTGGTAAACCGCAGCACGTCAGTGTGAAAGCAGCCTTAAAGGGGGCTCAGAAAAGTAAGGGTTCGTTTACATTTGCCGTTTGCCGGGGTGGTAAAACTCCATAGTTAAGATGTGTTTCTACCACCCACCGTCCTGACCACACACCCTTTAGCTGCAGTGGTCAGGGTTGTACACATTTCGCAGCCGCAGCAGGAGTTATACGCCCTGTCATGGTTGGTGGGTGTAGCGCCAGCCAAGCATGACCAATTCAAGTGAATGAGGCCGCTCTGCAAGTGCCCTGAAACCTTGTGCAGTACAGCAAACAAGGGGTTTAAAGCAGGCAGCATTGTGATGCTTTCTCACCACCTCCTTTAACCCCCCGGTGGTCACATCTGTGCGGGAATTGGTGCCGCTGTGGATCCGCTGCTGGGAAAACCACCACATAGGTGTGAACCTAGGGGTAACCCCTTGGACCTAGGGTAACCCTTGGAGACCGCAGAGACATGCAATTGCGGGGCGCTTGCAGAGTGGCCCCATTTACTTGAATGGGTCGCGATTGGCAGGTGTAGCACCCACCAACAGCCACAGGGGGTATAATTCCTGCTGCTTTCATGCGTACACCTTTGACTTCTGCCTCAGCAGCTAAAGGGGGAAGGAATTGGGGGTGGTAAAACTGTGACTCAACCGCAGGTTTTTTCCCCCCAACCCCAACTTTACGTGTAGGCAAGCCTTAAGGGAGCTGCTGCTGAATGCAACTAAGGGCTCATGCACAAGTGCAGCAAGCACTGCTGCTCCTCCGAAATGCGATCGGAGTGTGTATGACAGGCAGGGCCGTGGATAAGGGGGTACCACCGGTCCTCCTGTACGGGGCCCAGGCCAGCAGGGGGCCCAGGCAGATGAGTGAATCAGATGTGGGCAAGGAGGGTGATCAGCATGGCAGGGGAGGGGCAGTTACTGGAACCGATCCCCTGTATGGCTCTCTCCGCAGCAGCTTTAATCCGGCTTCTTCTCCTCTCCCTCCCGCTGGCTTTCAGCTGCTGCAGAGAGAGCCATACAGGGGATCGGTTCCAGTAACTCCCCCACCACACTCATCACCCTCTCCCTGTGCACCATACATTTCCCCCTGCTGCCCAGGCCCCTCCTGTGTTCCCCCACAGTGCTGCCGGCCTCCCTCCTCTCATTCGTACCCGCAGCACACAATAGGAGAGTGGGGGGGAAGGGTCTGGTAAATATGTCACATTTACTGGCCCCTTTCCTGAATTAACACAATGATGTGATCGATTACCTATCACTCACTGTGTTCATTCATACTGAAGCATAGTATAACTTGGTGTTTTTTTTTTTTATGGGCGGGGGCCCTGTCGGGTTACCGACTATGGGGCCCCACGTGGTTTCTAACAGCGGCCCTGATGACAGGTGGTGAGGAAGACAATATGATATGCCTTCTCACCACCTGATCTATACCCATGATTGCCGTGCAATGCACCACAATTGCCGCATGTTAGTACGCAATTAGAGGTTTAAATCAGGTATGATGGAGGTTGACACCGTGCCAGTGATCTGATCTGACTTATCAGCCGCGTTGTTCAGGCACTTTCCCCCCCTTCCATCTGACATGCTGCCTCTTTAACCACTTCCAGTCTGGACACTTTCGCTCCCCCTTCCAGTCTGGACACATTTCCCCCCTTCCAGTCTGGACACTTTCCCCCCTTCCAGTCCGGGACACTTTCCCCCCTTCCAGTTCCTGGACACTTTTCCCCCCACGCTTCCAGTCCGGACACTTTCCCCCCCTTCCAGTCTGGACACTTTCCCCCCCTTCCACTCCTGGACACATTCCTCCGCCCTTCCATTCTGGACACTTTCAAACCCCCCTTCCACGTCCGACACTTCCTCCTCCCCCCTTACCAGATCTGGACAACTTTCCCCCCCTTTCCAGTCTGGACACTTTCCCCCTCCTTCCCAGTCTGGACACTTCCCCCCTTCCAGTCTGGACACTTTCCCCCCTTCCCATCTGGACACTTTCCCCCCCTTCCCGTGCGGACACTTTTTCCCCCCCCCTTCCAGCGGGCATTTCCCCCCCTTCCATTTGGACACTTTCCCCCCCCCTTTCCATTTCGGACACTTTCCCCCCCTTCCAGTGCGACACTTTCCCCCTTTTCCCCCCCCCTTCCCGTGCGGACACTTTTCCCCCCCTTCCAGTGCGGGCACTTTCCCCCCCTTCCATGCGGAC